TCTACATGCAGCTCAAACCTAGAGCATGTTTGGTACCTCATATCTGTGTGAGCAGCTGATTTCTGTGAGGAAGGTTAAGGAAACATCACACACGAGTCGTCTCAATGGTGAACACTTGCAGTCCATCATGAGAATCTTAATTAGAGACTGACCGAAAGTGATTTTCTGATTTTGGCCGAAGCCGAAAATAGTCCGAAATTTTCAAATGACTTTCAGCCAAAAACGAAAATGGACCGAAAGTTTAAAAATGACATTCGGCCGAAACCGAAAAAAGGCTGTAAGTTAAAAATGATTTTTGGCCGAAACCGAAAAAGAAATAATTAGATATTTTGAAATTCGTTCCCGCATACATTCTGCATACATTGAAAATGATGGGAGAAAGCATAAATATTTACATTCTTTTTATAAAAAATGAGATAATCGTGAATATTAATAAATAAACATCTAATATAACATCCTGTTGTTAAAGCCCATTTATTTTGTTCTTAAAGATCGCTTAGTTTGTTGTTAAAGATATTTCAGTTTTTTTTTAATGATTGCTTTATTTGTTCTTAAATATTGGTTAGTTTGTTCATAAAGATCGCTTAGTTTGTTGTTAAAAATCTTTTATTTTGCTTTTTAAGATCGCTTAGTTTGTTCTTAAAGATTGCTTAATGTTTGTTTAAAAATCTTTTAGTTTGTTATTAAAGATCATTTAGTTTGTTCAAAAAAGATTGCTAAGTTTTTTCTGAAAGATCGCTTAATTTGTGTTATTAAAAGATTGTTTAGTTTGTTCATAAAGATCATTCAGTTTGTTCTTAAAGATCATTTAGTTTGTATAAATTGTTAGTTTGTCATTAAAAATCATTTAGTTTGTTCTTTAAGATCGTTAAGTTTTTTATTAAAGATCGCTTAGATTGTTCTTAAAGATTGCTTAGTTTGTTCTATAGATAATTGATTTTGTTCCTTAAGATCGATTAGTTTGTTCTTAAAGATCGTTTAGTTTTTTCCTAAAGAACATTTAGTTTTCTATTAAAGATCGCTTAGTTTATTCTTATAAATCATTTAGTTTACTATTAAAGATCATTTTTTTGTTCTTAAAGGTCATTTAGTTCGTTCTTAAAAATCGCTTAGTTTGTTCTTTAAGATCGTTTAGTTTTTTTAATTAAAGATCGCTTAGATTGTTCTTAAAGATCGCTTAGATTGTTCTTAAAGATCGCTTAGTTTGTTTTAAAGATCGTTTTGTTTGTTCTTAAATGTCCCTTAGTTTGTTGTTAAATATCTTTTAATTTGTTTTTAAATGTCGCATAGTTTGTTATTAAATATCGCTTTTGCTGAGAATAAGATGACCGAAGACCTCAGTCAAAGCCGAAAGTCTAAGTCAATTTGGCCGAAACCGAAAAAAAAAAGAAAGTTAACTTTTCTCTTTCAGCCAAAACCGAAATTAAGCCGAATGTTAACTTTCAGTTTCGGCCGAAACCAAAACTTGGCCGAAAGTGATAAAATGGCCACTTTCGGCACCGAAACCGAAGCCGAAATTCGGTCGGTCTCTAATCTTAATGACACAGAACATTACTCCCAACATATACGAACGTGTGGCCATGAAAAGATGCCAAACATCCAGCCCTGACAAATTAACAGAAGAGCAAAGATGGGTGTGCAAATGATTTTTTTATTGTTAAAACTTTTTTCTGTTTTAATTTATATTAATGTTTAAATTTCCACTTATTGAATGTCTATCTTGTTTGGCCTGCAACCTTACATGTGATTTGATCTTTCAGATTTGATCTTTCAGGCATATCTCCAGGGGGGTGGGGGGGTGGAATCAAGTGCCCCCTGGAGCAAAATGTGTACAATCATATAAAGATTATAGATATTTTTATTAAAAACAACTAATTTGTCTTTTTAAAATTTGAAACAGTTTTGAAAAGACTAGTGTCTGGTGCCTGTAACCGATTACAATTAGTGGAATCTATTAAATATCGCTACGCTCGATATATTTGATGATCTGTACATTTAAGGCTAATCTTGTTCAAGTATAGTATTCAATTATAAATATCGCACTGGCCGCTCCAGTTTATAAGCCGAAGTCTTACTTCCTGCAATTTGCATAATATATCAGTATTTTTTAATTTTTTTTTGCAACTTAAAATTTTTAATAACACTGTATTTAATTAATGACCTTTGTTTACATCAATATAGAGGTCTGCAATTTTATAATAGTTCTTGCTAAGTTTCAAACGTCTATTTTACGCAATCTATTTTCAAATTATATTTCATCATAAAAGCATGACTTTCAAAGTAGGTATGGGTGTAAATTATAAATTGTATGATGGAATTAGTCTTTAAATAAAAAAATTTAATCGATTCTATGTGTGTTGAGTTAATAAAAATGGAAACTTTAAAAAAAGGAGATTTTAAAAAAATAATTAAAATTTAACGAGCTTACCTATACAAAAAGTGCACATTTCATCAATTATTATATTGAAAGCGTTTGTGTTTTCTTTTAATGTGCTACTTTTGTAGCAATGCTTCCTGGATAACAGAAGTTAAAACAATACGTAGCCTATATTTATTATGCCCCACCTATTTGCACACATTTTTTTCAAAATATAGTTTTCTGGTTATATTAGAAAGATTTAAAAAAAAAAAAAGATTTTTGCGAACAAACAAGCAGGTCAAGTACTTTTCCGTTTTTCACCCCCCCCCCTCATATATTTTTGCTATCCTCATAACATCTTTAAACCCCTAAAATATCGTAGGGGTTGCTGGTCGCACACAGTGGTTCTAAGGTTAAGTGACACCTACATTTTTAAAAAGGATCTCTTCCGTTGCTCTCAGAGTAAGTGTAGGATGTTACAAAAATAAATTCAAATATTTGATCAAATAGATTCTTGCATTTTTTGCATTTTTTATTTATCAAAAAAATTCTGTGAACTATACAGATTTAATAAGCGATATTAAGCTAGGGCAAAAGGGTGACATAAATAGAATGAATTTATAGATTATGTCCCACTGGTGCGGAATTTAAGATGTTTTTGATCATTATTATGGCTAATCTTGGCACTCCCCACCCGAAAGTTTGAAATGTCACCTCAAAATTATCTGAAAAAAAAAAACAATTCAAGCATGCACCAAAATGCACCCCTGCATTTTGAGTTTGCTCGACTGTCTTTAGCATACTACATTTCTGCACCCCTTCACTCATACTGATCAATGGTACAGTATGGGATTGATAATAAGCTTGTTCCAAATGATTACTCTGGGGCACGCCACAAATGGAGTGAATTCAGTTTATGTTTGGCAATGAGCACCATAATGCCTCCCGAAAATCTTAAAAATGTCTTTCCCCGTTCTAAAAGTATAATAGAAAATTGAATTCAAGAATACTAAAAAAAACACATCTTGATTTTGACCCCTCCACCGAACAACATTCATCTGCGTCCTAAATTTCCGCCCTACTTCCCGATGAAAATGTTTGCCGATTTTGGTATCAATATATACACTGCCTAGAGGCATAGCTACAATTAGTGCCCCCGTGCTGCCATGGGCGGCCATATATTTTTGCTGTCCTCCCTTTCACGATAAAAACTCTGCAGTTGTCCGAAAATGCCACACCTGCATACAAAGAAAAAGTTACACCTTGGTGGACCACCCTATCCTCCCAATTTGACACCACTAGCAGGGGCGTATCTACAGTGTTTGATGTCAGGGGACAAGATTCATTTTTACATGCCACTCCTCAACTCTGAAATTGATTATTTTCAACAATTAAATACCACCAAAGCTCATTTTTGCAATATGGTATTAATCAAATAATATCCTACTGATGTTTCTCTGTTTCCTTATATTTCATCTATTTTCTTATTGCTGTGTGTTGATGTATCCCTGGATATTCTGGTCCATTATTATTGCGGACTTCATTTTTCAGTGTCAATATTTATATTCTCTCGCTTCCTGTGTTCCCACTTCCGGAGACACGAAAGGATACTGCTTGAGTTGTCTACTGTGCTCTTTTCTTTGTTATATTTTCATTTCTATTGTTGGCTGAGGAAGGCTTTATGCCGAAACGTCCTTGTTTTTTGTCCTGTTATCTTATTCAAGCTTCACACATACCTCGTTTCGCTATTTCATTCATTTATCTGTGTATTAACGTGCTTTTATCAGAGATTTTTGCTTGATTAATTGGGGGTGCAATTTTCTCAAATTTTTTTTCCCCCATAATGTCTGATGCCGGAGAGGGCCCCTTCTCTAGATTGCAAAATCAACACAAAATTTCTTTATTGGAATTATTTCAAATAGATAAGACTGAACACAGCGATTTCAGAGATATTCCATGTGCTAGAATGACAGTATTAGCTCCAGTGGTGATGGTGACATACGAGTCAGATGTTGACAATTTTAGTCCTGACCTTAGTCATATTGTTACAGACTAATTCGCTTGGGCAAAGGTGGAAATCCTAATGAAAAATACAAAGTTTGGATCCCAAAGACATTTATGTTTGTGTATTTATGGAGTATTAATTAATAAAAATGGATTTAATAACTTCAAATGAAAAAAAATATTTGAACTCATTTTCTGCTTTCCCCCATCTATTATGTTATTTTGTATGACAGATATTTTGAAGGTAGGGAAGGAAAAGAATTCACCATTATTACAATTTTCAATATAAGTAACTACAACTTGACATTTCCTGAGAGAATATTGTTTCTAGTATCTCACAAACTTGATTTTATGATAGTTTGAACAATTTATGGAGCATTAGTTTGGGTTGAATTCAGATTTTGAGTAGTAAAATTGTACTCACTCTGTTATATTCCAGGTCAATATCAACATAATATAAAAACAAATTCTTTTCATACCATAAGATATTTTGTTTAATGTACATTCAGAAAATGTATCCTTGTATGGGTCTCTGAATTCATTTAGTCTGGGATTTTGTCATTTTTGACAAGCATATGAAAATGCTAAAAATGGTTTGACGCTACAGAAAAATGTTTTTGAAAGTTATAGAGTTAAGCTAACTACCTTCTGTCAATGCCTGGACATGCTGACTGGCAATCTCATGATGACATTTCTCGTACAGCTGTCTTTGTTGTTCATTCTCCAAGTCAAAAGAGCTGTTCTCTGCTTCAACCATCTTTAATCTCTCCAATGAAAATTTAGTTTTATCTCGCACATCTCCCTCACCATGGACCTGGCAGATTAATCAACAATGATTAGTGATGTAGACTGGCATCGTTGAATAATTGGTGAAATCTTAATACAAGTGATAAAGTCATAAACAGTGTTTGTGAGAGATGGCAACTGTCTGGTACACAACTTGTTGAAAAAAACTGGCTATTTTAAGATCTATGCTAATGTACCAATGAGCTATGGTGGTTTGAGGAGTTGTTTTTAAGGAAGGTAAATGACAAAATATTTTATGTAAAAAATATCTTGACCAACATTTGACTTATTGTGGGTATAATTATATAAAATTATATAACAAATAACAATTTAAAAATGCATTGTAATGTGAAACTTTTATGTGTGTCGTTGAACAGACAGAGGAGATTTGGGAATTTTCAGCTTTAGGAAAATACTTCAGAGGTTTTCAACTTAACAAAAATAATATGTAAATATATTTTTATTGAAAACAAATATTTCTAAGAATTCGCCCCAGGATGACAAATTACCATTTGCCTAAATCTTCTTTATCTTATTTCTCAGCCTCATGTTGTCTCTCCTTATCATGCTGATGTGACTTTTAAAAAATCTTTTAGACAAATCTGTAAAAACACTACATAGATAAACATCGACAGTTTAGCACTTAGGATTGAGCATTCTACATTCGGATTAAAGGAGAAACCTGCTAGCAGGCGAATTATTTCTACTGAGAATTGCATATGCTTCCTCACGAGCACGTGATTTGATGGATTTATGTTGAACATTATTCTTTTAGAAATATTTAATGTTTCGGCCTGACCTCTTTACTTTGAACTAGGAGTAACAAAACCAAGACAGTACTTTAGGCATTTGGCAGTCAGTCTATCGTGGTGACAAGACCACTTTCCATAAACAAAAATTAATATAATATTAATAAAAACATATATTATAAGATAAGATAAATAAAGATTCTTTTATTGATCAAAATAAATTGAAATGTTTTTTGATTACATTGTACATATTCATTTTCAGTACATAGATAAATATATATATTGTAACCAAGACATTTTAAAACAATAACAATTTAAACACAACACATCTAAAGTATTTCTCAAGCATAGAAATCAACTATCAATGAACAGTGAAAATAAGGCCTTAATTAGTGTTCATTTGGATTTGGTAACCGCTGGGGAAGTAGGCTGGTAAATTTATACACACTGGGGAACAAAAATTTTGTGTATATTTTGTGGTCCTAACTTTGATAGACATAATTCTCCCTGATCGAGTTGATCTTAAGTATCTGCCATGAAGAGGGATCCACATCATTAATTTCAATAACTATTCCAGATCTGTCGAGAACTGAAGAAGTATTGAATACAAGAAGAGGACATCATAAATCAAAGATTAATTTTTATTTTATGTTATGTAAATAATTGGTATCGATGCAAAAATATTATTTTTTTCCTTAATTATTTATGTCAGAGCACAGGTATAAATTTCTTTCAGATCACATATTTCGTTGTTACCTTGAGGGAATCATATTGTCTTGGCACTGTATGAATGTGAAATTTTGGCCCTCTTCTTACTAAACAAATACTATTTGTTATCAGATTGTGATTATCAAGCATGTAAATTGTCTAAGGAGTCGTTCGCAAATTACGTCATGCAAAAAAAGACCTTTTCAGGCCCCCCCTACCCCACTGTCACAAATCCCCCCCGTCATGTCACACCTAAAAAAATGTCACACCTAAAAAAATTCAAAACATACATAAAATTTTCATAAATACACTAAGATTTTATTTAATTCTTTGACATTTTCCTATAGTGGATTAAGTTGTAGAATTATTAGAAAAAAGCAAGGAAGTCCTCCATGAGCTAAATGTAAAATGGCCACAACAGTTTTTGCGTCATTTTTTCGATATGCGCAGAAGGTGTGCGCGACTGAGTTTCACAGTACTTATTATACCTGAGGCAATTTTGACCTCAAATTAATTTTTTTTTAATTACTTGAATAAAGGTTTTCAAAATTAGAAAATTTTAGATTTTTAAAAAAAATTACAAATTTAAGCACATCACAAATTTTTTGAACGTGATGTAATTTGCTAACGACTCCTAAACTGTATCTGTAAATTGCTGTGTTATCATTTATTAAAGTTTTGTATGGTTATGTATAACTTGTGATATCTCTCGTTATTTCTTCTATCAATTTTTCAAAGATAGTGACTTGTTTTTATTTGGTCCTGTGAGTGTGATATATGTTTATTCTTTATAAATATCATTATTAATTCATATCCTTTTTATTTGGTATTTAAATCAATGAATATATATATGATATCACATATGCATTGATAATTGATTTAACTATACATATTTAATTTCTTGATTAAATTGAGTATAGCATAGTCTAAAGTCAATACAACATCAATACCTGAAGACATACATTTAAAAATGAAATTTTTCAAAGCAATGATAGTGATAGCTAAATACTTAGGATATGAAGGGGATGAATTAAAGGTGTTTGTTAAAAAAGAAATAGAGAATTGAACGAGAAAAGATAGAAGAAAGAGACTTAAGGGCTGCTAGAAGTTCTCATGAATTAGAGATGAAGAACTTTGAATCAGCTAATAATATCAATAATACAACACCTATGGAAGTAAAGGAAACAAGAACAAATAGAAAAAATCCATTAAGCTACAACCCTTTGAAAATTAAAAAAGAGAATTTTGAAAATTTTATTGGAATTTCTGAAACACAGTGCAGCTTACAAAACATTGACAGAAACGAATGGAAAGAGGAATTATTTTCAGCTCTAACGGGTTCAGCTGGAGATTCATTAGCGTGTCTACAGAACATAGAAGTAATTGATTATGAAACTAGGAAAGAATAATAATTAAGACACTTCAATAAAACTGAGGATTTTTACAGAAAAATATTCCATCAAACAGGATTGATTCTGCATTATAAAATTTAAGTGTAAAAACTTTTTAACTTGTTGATTAACAAGCTAAAGTTGTAATATAATGTTTTTCCTACAATTTTGTGCTATTAAAAATACATCAGCACAAAGTGAAATGTATTTATACATTTATGTATATTATAATGGGGGGGGGGTGTGTGTTGTTTATAAAATGTGGACATGATCGAAAGTTTGACAGTTTTTAACAGAGTGGGGTGGATGTAAAAAATTGCCTAAAAATTGTTGGCGTAATTAATGGACGGCCCTTTAAAGACCTGAAGGGATTGGTTACTGTCATTTAAGACTACAAAGATAGCCATCCTAGTGCAAAGTTAGCAATCAAAAATGATAAATAGAATGTGTTATAAGGCATGGGAAACCATAAAAGATATAATAGTCTACCTGACCAAACCAATTCAAATAATACTAGCAGAAAAAACTCATCTAGTTTATTTAATGAATAGTGGCAATGAAGGATATTTAAAAAGAAATTTCAAAAACTATAATAAATTTAATCAACAATGTAGAAGGCAGGATTGGAATCAAAGCTGAAAATTTCATCATCCTCACTACATAAGACAAGAAAATAATAGAAAAGTATCACCTAATAACAGTAGGCCAAAAAAAACGTATAAGAGAGGAAGATCAAATAGTCATCATACTGTAGTTAAAATATTACACAGTAGTTAAAATATTACACAGTAGTTAAAATATTACACAGTAGTTAAAATATTACACAGTAGTTAAAATTCTATCCACCTTATGTTAATGAACAAAAAACATTATGTCTTAGAGAAACTGTGACTGTTTTCTTATAGAAAATGGACAGTGGACAGTCGCAGTATCTTACTATATTCATCATCCCATCCTCAATCATGTAAAAACTCCATCTCTTTTTCTCAGTTGCTGAGACTGAGAAGACTCTGTAGCAATGATGAGGATTTTAGGGAAAGAACTGCTGAAATGTTGGATTTTTTCCGACTGAGGTTATATCCTGAGCAAACTTTAAAAGCAGCTGTCACTCGAGTTAAAGGTATGACTAAACAGAATTCTTTTTAAAGCTACTCATTCTTACACTAGGGATAGGACTAAATTTATTTTAACTTTTAATCCCCATAACCTTAAAGCTTGTTTTCTGGTTCTGAAAAAACGCTCAATTCTTATGACAGGCCCTGTCACCAATGAGATTTCTGCAAACCTCCTCTTTTCGCTTTCCGGAGGGACAAGAGCCTTAGCAACATTCTAGTTAGAAGCCAACTTCCTGCTATTAAAGCACATAAAGGCACCAAAAATTTCAACCGTAGCTGTTGTAACACATGTCCCTACGTGATTGAAGTTGATAAGATCACTTTCCTTCTGGAAGTATTCAGAATAAAAGATGGCTTTAACTGCACAAGTCGCAATATGATTAACACCATCTTTTGTAAAAAGTGCTGTAAATTATACGTAGGAGAGACAGGTTGTTGCATTGGAGACCGGTTTAGAGAACACCTCTATAACATAAATAAACAAGCTCTCTGTCCAGTCTCCAAACATTTCAATAGCACTAACCATTATAGAATTTTGGACATCGCAGTTACTGGTGTAGTGTATACTAGTAACACACCGGATAGGATCTATATGGAGTATAAATTAATAACAAGATTTGGTACGTTGACTTGATATGGGATAAACCAAATCCACTATTTTACGTAGCTGCCATGTCTTTTTCCAGTTTGGTTTTTACATTTTACTTCAAATCGCTTCTTTTCCATTCTTCTATACTTTGTTGCTGTCTGGTTTTTGCGGCCATTCCCATTTTTCTCTTTTTTTAGGTAGGATATATGTAAATATATATTATTTAAATTTAATTTATACTTATTTAAATGTTTAGTTGTTATACTGATGAAGATGGGGCCGAAATGTTCAATGGTGCATTATGTAAAAATTATTATTAAAGCTTAACATATTATTATTATATTATTATGACATATATCATATATTGTTATATTGACACAAATTGTTTGAGTCTAATTAATCTATGAATTCTTTCCCTCAAAGTTCACATCAAAAGATATGCTAGAATTTACCAGGGTGCACCTCTGGCTTAACAA